TTAATCACTGGTGGGAGGAGAGTGCCATGGGGTTTGGACTGAGGAAATAATATGAATCTGATCAAATAAATCAGCCCTAATGGGTTACGACACAGGCTGACTTTTATTAGCGGGCTAAAGGAGGGATGGATGTTGGGAGGGCGCTGCACTGGGATGGATCTGGGATGGGGTGTCCTCACATTAGGGAGCCTCAAGCGGAGTTTAGCCGCGTCAAAGCACAGTTGAGAAATGGCGGTGGTTTTAACTCTGGAGCAAATTAGCTTTGTGGTATTTGTGCACCAAATATGATGATGGGTTGTCTTTTATTTTCAACGAAAGTAAAAAGCATGCCACTACATTCCTATCAGTATGAATCAGAAAGAAAACATCTTGTTACAAGCAAACCTGGCATCTGTCAGCAGCACCTGACTGATGTTGTAACATTCGGCTAGATCGCCCCTTTCACTTTCAATGATACTTCATTTTCTCCCTCTTCATCTGCTATAATGTGATTATTAATTAACCTGTTTGACCCTCTCTTTCTTAACTAACTTCTCATTCTCTCATCCAACCCGATGCCGTCTTCCACTATCAGTCTGATCCTTCTGATCTATTTCAATTTCCATCCTCATTTTCCTTTTCAAAATCTTAGTGAATTCTTTCCCACACCTTCATTCTTCTGATTGCACTTTGTTCACACTTCCATCCAAACATGTCCATCTTTTCCTTTTCCCTATGAAGGCCCGACTGGTCTAGAACACCCATGTCCTCACATGTGATGCCTCTCTTCTCTCTCTCTTCCACCCTCCTGATCCTTAATTTCCTCTCCTCCATCTACCTCCTATCCCCCTCTTCCTTTCCTCCATCCACCTCTGATCCCTTTCTTCCTCTGCTCTGTCCACCTCTGATCCCCCTTTTCCACACTTCCCTGCGCTGTGATCCCTGCGCTCCCCAGAGCTGTGAGGCCTGTCCCTGTGTGTGAGTTGCTTGTGCAGGAGCCTGCATGTGTGGTGGCCCCGGGGCAGGGATGACACAGCCCCGCTGGAATGAGAGGGAACAGAGTCTGGGCGTTCCTCTACAAACGCACTATTAAACCCACTGCAGTACACAATGAGCTCATCTTAATTCAGGTCAGATGTACATCCTGCATTCTCTCTCTTTGCTTTTCTCTTGTTCCTTTTATGTAATTGATTATATTGTATACCTTTGTTTTTCTCTGCCTTTGTTTATGTGTTCTTTCCTTTCCTCTGCCTACTCCTACTCCATGTGCATTAACCCTACAATTAGCCCTACTTTCACCCATATTTATCTGTGGCGAAGGGCATTTGTCAAGTTAGAGCATGAGGGCACCTCAGGCATTTGGTAGAGGTCCCGCACTCCTGCTCTCAGGGCAGACTTCCCTCCTTATCACCACTTTGTGAATGCAATCTAATCATAAACAATAATAAGGAAAGTTTTGTTTAAATTGTGAAGTTCAAGTGAGGTCAAAGTATGTCCACGAAAAGCCCATAACTCTCCGTAGAGGTGTGGAGACTTGCTCTGTTCTGGCGCTGGTACAAAGGGTGTTGAAATCAGCATGGTTGTTTTATCACATGCTTGGGAAAAAAAGTGTTATGCAATCTCTAAAAATGTGATATGGAATGCATCCTAGAATCATAAAAGCTATCAGCACAATACGGTACGCTACCATTGAGTAATTGTTCCGTAACTTCAGAAGTATTATATGTAAGTATATTTTAAAAAGTAAGAGAATTACTGAATATCAAATAAGGATCCAAATATACTGTATCTGATAGAAGATTCAAACACTTTATTTGCATACAATTGAAATTACTTAGTCATAGTTTTGCTTTCAAGTTAGACTTCAGATCTGGCTGAATTTATATATGATGATCATAATTGATGTTAAGCCAAAAGGAATTTAAATGTGATCAGTGACAAATATTCTTCATGAGATCTTTTACCCGGTGATTCTTGATAATCAATCCGCATATCAACAAATCTTCTTGAGAAAACACAGGAAGTTTAAATGCGTCACCCTATACATGAGCTTTATATGAGACCCCGCTGTTTTGAAGGCATGCAAACCAACATCTATTTCTGCTACTTCTCTTAAAGGCAAAAACGAGGAACTGAAGAGGCTGATAGCTCTGAGGTGTGAAAAATATTGTGCATTTAAAGTATCATGGGAAATATAACCACAAATTGACTTCCTGCAGAGCTTTGCAAGCTGATGTGACCAAATTAAAGTTGCACAGCAATAGCAGGGTGGGAAATTACCAACGAAAAGATGAGTCCTCTGTAGAAACTTGAAAGAAGTCGCGGTGGACTGCGTTAAAATAAAATAAACTGTTCATCTCACATTGGCACAGGAATAGAAGGACACAAACGTCTCCTAAAAATCACTTATCTAAGGTATCAACGACAGTATCACCATTTTATAAAAGCACCTGTTTTCATACACGGCCAAAATTGATATAAATGATTTAGGATTACATCATCGTAAATTGATGATCAGGTATTTTACAAAAACTCTACAGTAATCACTCCTCACCAGCTGCATTCAGGTTGATTGTGCTATGTAATGGAAAATAATGGACTGAGTTCCTCTTCTGAGCCAGAATAAAATAAGATGTTTAGTGCCTCCTGCCAACACCCATACCCGCACATCGCCCCTTGCGAGTTAAAGGGTGAGGTTTCCACAGAATGTTGTATCTCACGTGGTTGACTGGTAATGTCCAACGTATTTAACTCTGACACAACTCAGCACCAGATGTTTATAATTGAAAAACAGAAAGCATTCGAATGTGTTGGACGCTGCTTTTCTTTGTATGATAATGATAGCCGTGACATTCAATTCTGCTGGCTGGTTTCTTATGCCTGGACTTAACACTGGTTTGTGTCAGTGCGGCTCCCCAAAGACTTTGTTTAGGGACTTGGAGCAGGAGGAGAGAGAAACAGAGAGAGAGGTCCTCAGGTTTCACAGCTGCAGGCCGTGCTCAACCCTAAAGTAAATGGACTTGAGGAAAGCCAATCCTAATTGATACCAAGCCTCAAAGCTCTTTAGTAAACATTGTGGAGCAATGAAAATGACTTGTTATCCTAATTCATTGGATGCTCACGCCGCGCGTTCAGAAAACAAAGGAGGCAAATGGAGATGAGGTTAAACTGACTTTTTTGGGTGTTTTTCTTCTAACGTAGAGATATATTAACCATAACAATTACATTAGCAGATCCATAAAGTGTGTCAAGATCAAAAGCTGTATAGCCGTGTATGGATCACATACTCAAACAAGAGTGATTAACTGACTAGGATAACATTTTATAATACTCTCTCAGATTATTATGTTTCAAATTTAGCATAAACATTTGCACATGCAAGACGAGACATGGGAAATCAAACTTATTGGAGACTACAGTTGAAGTGGCTTAACATGACAACAGGGAACCCTTCCTCTGACCTTCAGTAGTGTCCCTAACACTCAATCAGGACACTTCACTAGCCCGTGAAGTGTCCAGTTGTTCTGTGTGTGGGAAGTTCCTGTGGAGAGACCCTGTGCTCGGAGCCTTTGGTTGGCCCTAATGGCTTCCTGTGGAAGCGCTGCTTCTCAGCGGAGGGGTTTCCTAAACTGATTTTCCTGCTGATGTGAACATTTCCAGGCTTCTCGTGTGAATCTACCCATCCTATTCATGAGTTAGATTCCACCTTCATAGTAAACAAGTTACGCTTCTGCAGGTTGAGCACTTACAAGCACTGCGCGGGAAATTCCTCAAATAATATGCCACATATAAATATAACTGAGGCTTACAGTTTTAAATGACCACTTTATCGCATACATGCTCTGATTAATTTTTAATGACAGGTGAAATCAGGTGAAGCAGGCACAGCAGAGTCTAGGTTACTGGCTGTGATTTCTGCTCCTCCAAGGGAGTGAAATTCCATCCCTGTCCTGGACAAAGAGCCTGACGGGGTGTCAGTCAGGCTTAGTGATGGGCCTCACATCCAATATTCACAAGCTCCTCAAGCTGTAAATCTACACAGGACAACTTCAACACAGCACAGGCCTTACACTGAGCCATCTCAATGTCTAACGTGCCTGCCACAGGTCTGGTTTACAGTAACAAAGCCCTGGCACATGTTTCAAGGTGGTTGGGGTAAAGGCATAAGGAACACATGAGGTCAGTGGAGTATCTCTATAACATCCAAAAGCTTATTAATGTCTGTCATGATTATGTTTTTGAGATATAAAGACAAAAAGTCACTATGGGAAAACATTACCCTCAAAGACCCATGACGGTTTAGTTTAAAAAACCACATAGCTTAACCACACACAGTATGGAGATATGAATCATCATGGTCTGATTATGACTGCAATTAAAAATCCTTTTTAAACGTCATGAAATACTTTGTGACTGTGTGAAATAATAAAGCAGCACACCACTCAGATTGCAGTCTATATCAGCTGGTTATTTTACACCTGTAGCATGGCAGTGCATCAGAGAAACAGAGCTCTATAGTTGCGGCTGACATTCCCATACAGTGAAAGGATCTATTTTAGAGCATGAAATGCTAAACCGCTGTAAAAGCAGTCACAGCTAAGACTTCAACAATGAGCTCACCTTGTCCTCCGGGACCCTCTTTGGCATGTTCTGCTGTGGGACAATACTGAATGGACAGCAAAACATGAATCGCAAGCCCTACACTCGCTGCTCCAAATGTAACAAATCCCTGACATTACCTCAGAGACTACGGAGGGATGACATTCCTCATGGACACGAAAGGGTCAAACCTAAGACTGTCAATCTTACAGGGACGCACTTGAAGTGAAAGGATACATCCTCACACTCCACAGATAATTAACAGTCTGTCAGCAGTGAGAGCAGTGCCTCTACCACTTAGTCAAAGATTCAAAAATAAAAACCCACAAAAAACGAATTTCCCTTCTTTTTCTCTTACGAGTTTAATTAAAAAGAAAAAATCTTTGACATTTTACTGGATTTTTTGGCCCAAGCCTACTCACCCTATCTGTCTGTTGGTGGATGGAGCCTGAGTGATGACGGAGCTGGACTGAGGGGAGGGCAGGGCCTGCTGGATCACGATGCTGGTGTCATGGTTGCCCATCCGCGAGTGGGACTGCTGGTGCTGGCCTGACTGACCGTGCAGCGAGATGGCCTGCAGCGAAAGAAGGGGATAGAAAAGCAAGCAGAAAGTAAGGAAACTGTCTAATTTTTCCCAGCTGAGGGAACGTTTCACTTTCAGCACAACTCAAACACTTCATCTGTTTGGATCGGTAATGAGGAACATTGTAAGCTATCATTCCCAGGCTGTTGCTGCATTGAGGAAACATTAAGCGTCTAATGAAGACCATGCTTCCTTATTGTTTTGTAGCCCAGCAGGACCGTTTGTTTGTTTTACTTGTTTGTCACATGTGATCTCACATATAGTACATCCCAAAATAACCATGTGCCTTATTCAACAAAATATCTCTGAGCTCAACGCACATACAGTATCTTGGCATAAAGCAAACATCAAGTTGAAGTAATTTGCATTGAGTCAAATGAGAAACAGCCACAGAGAATGATCAAATACAAAAAGGAAAATACAGGCAAAACTTTTCATTTCTGTACAATTGCATTGTCAGTCGCTTTGGATAAAAGAGTCAGCTAAATGAAATGTTATATACGTGTCCGAGTGAAGGATAGGTAAAAACAAAGTTTATCAACCACATTTCTCACTCTTTACAGACACATGACTGTTGGTAAAATTAATATATGACTATTAATATTCATAAAGGCCGATTGCTGTTTTCTTCAAGTTTTAAGCTCCCACTCTGTTTATTGTGATATGCACTTTTAGAGAGTCTTGCTCCGACTCGCCTCCTGCTGATTCAGCAGAGCCTCCCCTCATAAACCACACAGGCTGGGGAGGCGAGACAAGGCTGACCTGAGCACAGACGAGCTCCAGAGCCAAACCACCCAGCCGACAGCTTAGCTACAGCCTGCTCTGCACATCTCTCCAGACATTAGATAAGCAGTCTGTCTTGTGGTGATTTGACTAGTACCTATGTTTCAGGTGAAGCTGCCTCAGGGTGGATCTATAATGCATAAATGACCACGTCTTTGGTCAAATGTGAAAATGTCTGGCCAGGTCATAAACGTTGTCTCAGGGGTCTGCCCGTATGTCTGGGAGGAAATAGGACTCTCTTCATGAGAGAGCGCTGGAGAGCTGTTTGAAGTTACAGGTGGAGAACCTGATCTTCTTTCTCCTCGTCTGTAGTTGGTGACAAATCTCCAGCTGCTTACCCTGTCTGTCACTGTCAACAAGACTGGTGGGGATCAGTGAGTGCAACAGGTAAAAACTAAAATTACGTTGAAATATAGGAGGTGTATAAATATCTGCGGTCATCAGTTTTTTGAACAAGCTAGCATAGTGTGGTTACATGAGGTCAAGGTGTTGCAAATCTATAAAAAATGGTGTGCATCAGCTCATAGTGTGTGGGCTGCCGTTGGTGACATGACTTATGATGGCAGCAGATAACAGTTCATAACCACCTGACCTAACCCCTGTGGGTGGCTGTGGGTTCACCTTGTTTTTTTTTCAGCCTGAGGCTTTTTTTTTTCACAGTACCTGTTTACTGTCCTCTTCTTCCTGTGCCTTGCAAAACTCCTGCTCAATGGAGCAGTCCAGCTCACTGAACAATCCCACCTCCTCACAGTTCTTCAAGAAGCGTGTTGGCGTGGGCGTCTGGTCTGGAAATCAAAGACAAGGTTTTTTAAGTTTTACCTTCAAATCAACAACTGTTAATAGTGTTTGTCAGGCTGCACATACAACATGATTGTGGACAGCAAAACACTACAGCTTATGGAGTAGAGCAGCATGCTAAATTATTATTAACATAAATGTCAGCTTTAAGCTACATTTCATCTACAACCCGTTGGCAGGCCACCATTGCAACAAAAACAAAAAGGACAAAGCAGCAGCAATCCAAAAGGACACATGATACAATAATACACAACACTAAATTACACGCTATGTTAGCAAGACATACTGTATATGTTAGATTTGTTATAATGATGTCATCAGATTCGTTTGTTTTTCTATAGTTTTTTATGTGTTTTTTGCTAAATGTGTTGAAAAAAGTACAATCAGGAGACGGGGGTTGAAGTGTGGGAGTGTCTCAGTGTTTATTTTTGTTATTTTGGGGTCATATGGACCACAGTTTGACTACAAACTCAATGCAGATCTATATTGATACAAAAGTATAATAATAGTGTATTGTTGTTACGTATTGCAATGATTTTAAGAAGAAAAAAAACTCCATTCTGTTAGCGAGTGAGAGATACTGTGCTTGACAGCCCCATTCCAGCTGATAAAGTACAGATCCCACCTACTGAGTGGGGGTCTCATTTGTTGAGCTCGGTCAAGCTGTGGTATTCAACTTGACGTTGTGGGGGGTGCACAGGGATCAGGTTTCAGACAGTTGAAGGTGATTTTAGGATCAGGCTTGTTTCAAAGGCTAAAAGCATACTTCATGGTCTGTTTATCCATTCTGGCTAGACTGAGGATTGACTCAAACCTTCATCATGACCTGTTTACCCAAAATACAGTTCTACTACAAATATACTTCTTCCATTTTGAACAGCTCAAGCTTTATAAATAAAAAGGAGAGTAAGGTCAATTTTTTGTTGAGGATAACAAGTATGAGCCAATGGGGCAGGGGGTTAACTTTGGGTCGACAGTTATAGTACTCACATTTTAAGCGGACACCGTTTAGTCACCAGCTTAGAGCAATGTGTTGCTGAGCTAAAATAACATACCATTTATTTTATTCTGAGTTTAAGGTCTCTAAAAGAGAAATGGTCAGAGCTGTAATTCAGACAACAAGCGATAAGAACACCCGGCCTAGAAAATCTGATCCTGCTGTCCACTGAGTGTAAATAATAGAGAAGACACAATCATGGCGGCGTGGCTTTCATCTAGTGTGACCTGGCTGTTTCTAGGAACGGAGATCTATACTTATGGATCGGCCTTGGGTTGACACTTGTATATGCAGTACACAATCTATGTTTCTTTGGACAGTAGATGAATGCGCCGATCAGCATGTCACCTTAGGCTTATACACAACAATAACCTTAAAACAAATGTTAACCATCTTCCCCTACAGTGGGATCAAGACTAATTATTTATCTAATATATCATATTCCAATTACTAGGGTTAGGGTTCCTTGCATTATATTTTATTTGTATTTACTTGCACTATTTTAACTATTTTATCTGTTTTATTGTGTTGCACTGTTGGAGGAGCCTGTGACCTAAGATTTTCATTGATATATCTACACTGTAGCTATGTACACATGACAATAAAAGCCTTGAATCTTGAATCTAATGATGATGGGAAAGGTTAATCCCACTTTAGCTTTACACACTTATTTCTCCAGACACACGTCATCACCTCCTGAAGTGTGCGTAAAGTGGTATGCCCTGAACAAAGCTAAAGGTAACGTGTGTCCTATGATTTACATTACTGTAAACAACTGGTATAGACACGCCATGAAGTTTTCTGATGATAGACAAGTGTGTCTGACTCGGAGCATGAGTCACTGAGGCACACACCTGCAAAGGAGCTGCATGTTTCCTCTAAACCCTGCTGAGTGTGTAGTGTGTGCGTTTGAATTGATGTAGCCGTATCTCACCTGATAACATGTTGTCGTTCTTTATGGAGGGGAACTTGAGGGTCATCTCATGTTTGTGTCTATGTATCATCAGATGGTCCTCCGTGGGGAACCGCTGTCGAATTTTTTTAAATAGGACCGTAAGAATTGTATGTAGAAAGACAACATTTCACATTTCAACTGTGCAAACTTCAAATAGCACTTGGCAATATGGAGACAATTATAAATCAGGATAATGTTGAGCAAATACCTCTCTGTCAATATTGCAAAACTATTGTGCATTTGACTATTGGTGCATTCACATAATATTTAGACAATGAGATTTTGATAGAAACTTATTAGTAGTGTGGATAAAATGATTATGTGGGTAAAGATAGATAGTAGCACAGCAAGTGTCTGGCAGTTTTAGAAAAGGACATAACATTACTGTTATGCAGCCTTTAAAACCACTTTTGCCATATTATGATACAAAATATGTCTCATATCACTTCAATATAATATCAACTTTAAAGAGCATTTGTTTTGAAAGGGTATTTTTACACCTGAAGGGTTATTTACACTTTGTGTTTGCCTCAGTTCAATGCTATTTTGTTTCTCCTCTTTGCGTGAGGCAGTAACCCACTCCTCAGTGTTTACCTCATCATATTACAGGCACACACACACACACACACACACACACACACACACACACACACACACACACACACACACACACACACACACACACACACACACACACACACACACACACACACACACACACACACACACACACACACACACACACACACACACACACACACACACACACACACACACACACACACACAGGGTGTCGTGGTTCTCCCCACACACTCACCTGAGAACAACCAGGAGCGTTGCACTCGTACGGCCTTTCCTGGTCTGAGTTCATCACTCTGCCCACCTTCTCATAAAACTACAAAAAAGCAGACAAAAGGAGAAAGCAAAGCGAAACATTTAATGACTTGAATTTCCCCTGCGAGCATCAAGGGGGGAAATGTACACTCATTGTTTCACGCTAATAATGGAACAAAAAATACACTGGATTCAATAAGAAAGCAATCAGCTTAACATACGTAAATAATTTGTTTATTTTCTTAAATTGAAAATCCAAAAATCCCCAAAATGAAAGAGTGTGAAATCAAACACCAACACCATGTAGAAATCACAGTTTCAACAAAGTGTCTTCAAATGTTTATTTTCACCACAAAGTGAATCTAGCCTAACACATTGCGCTGGTCTGACAGCTACAACTACTCGTTTACTTTCCACCTACTGACAAATCTGTGCTCTATAAGCATTTGCTCAATACACCACAGCCACAGCCACGCATCATGTCAGATGTGCAATGGATTCGGTAACAATTTGAGCTACTTTAATAATTTAGAGTGAAAAAGAGGACCCACTTTCCCAGAAAGGAGGAGTGCCTCGTACGTATCTGCGCTTCAAAAAATACAAAATGATACCAGAGTCACATAAATATTAAAGGCCAACAAATTCTTTAATATCCTGTCACAGTTAAACTAAAGAAACTTAATCATATACACAAGGATGCATTCTGCTTCAAATATATATGAAAACAGCTCTATTATAGACTATATTTATGACAGGATGAAAGAGAGAAAAGACCAGAAAAAAACAAGTGCATTTTATAAGCTTCTCAAGATCAAACCAAGAGCACAACAAATAATAAACTCTTTAAAGGCCTCCATGTGCACTCTAATCATGTAATGTATTTGATGCCCCACTCACATTAGAATATTTAAACCATTAACATTTCCAACAACTTCAGAATTGACCCAGCAAATAGTCTGGAAAGAAATCTAGAAATATTATTCTACTATTATAGGTATAAAAAGCATACATTTATTAAAAAAGGTAACCAATATATACAGTAACTGGTAAAGAAACCTGATCATTTTGTGTTTGTAGTAAACATTAAACATCGATGCAAGTTTAGGTGAATTATTTACATAAGGAAAATCGTAATATAAAACTCCTTAACATTAACGTATATAAATATTTTTGGGGGCTTTATCCCTTTACCTTTACTTCAATATCATGTTTGATGACTGCTGGGTACTGTGGCTATGTTATGTATTTCTTTTTTCAAAGTCTTATCGTTCAGCACGATGCAGTGTACTATTATTCTCATCGCTGTCAAACACAAACAACCTGAGAGGTCAATACATGCCAGGACTACAGATGTTAGGCACTTACTGACAGATGTTTTTACAGATGTTTAGTGATGACAAGTATTAAGGTAGTCTTTATTAATCCCTAGCCACAGGGGAGCATATTTATCTTCAAGCCAGTGCGTTTATCATTAGCAAGAAGTTTCTTAATTCTGAACATACAGGTCGTTTGGTTTGCAAACTGGGAATAGACATTCAAACTCTGCACAAAAAGATCCATGTGAGGAGCGAACCAAAGCCGCACCGAGACAAGTGAACATCCAGGGTGTCTGGAGAAGCACATTGTACTCTAAAGAGGGTATACAGTCTTGAATTATGAAAGTTGGACAAAAACATCTATTACTATGACACCAAAAAAGTGAAGCAAATGAAAGACGTTTGCGGATAAAGAATTGACGGCCCATCGTCTCTTTTTTCTGCTGTTTCCTTTTTTCTCAGTCTCCCTCATGTTACACTGAGCTAATCCCATCCCAACAAACGTTTCAAATATGTCTGTTAGGGCAGTCATTTTAACATCCTTATAAGGTTTTTCATCATGTATGTTTTTGATAACAAACTAGTTGCAGTACCCAACAGTTCAATCGTGTATCACACACATGCAACACATAGTTTATTCTCCTCTATCAATTCACAAAAACACATCCGAAATTCAAGTCAGGGCCGAGCATCACGTGTCAAGCATGAATGCCTTCATACACTATGTACATGTGTGTCTTTTTCACGGGTACAGACTATTTCCTCAAGCACAGTCAAAACACTCAAATATTGTGTTATGCTAAGCAGTGCTGTTTTCCTAACAAGCTGTACTTCATGAGCGAGCCTGCAGAACAGGGTCTGGATAGGGTCTGGACAGGGTCTCTCTGTCAGAGAGCAATGAGCCCTGCTCTCTCTTTCTGTCACCAGTTCACTACTGCAGGGCCCCTGAAAACTCACCTGGTTTCCTTTGACACAACAAACATGACTAACACTGCTGATCCTAACTCTGAACTTAAGCTGGACCGAGGATGGAAGTACGAATGAAGAACAACTGCTTCAAAAAGCCGATGGACATGTCAAAGATGTTCTCTACACTTTTTAATGCAGGTGTACAACCTGTATGACTGAAATCTAAAACTTTAACAATGAATCACAAATAAAACTGACGTCACCAGAAAGCATTAATAAGAAAAAAAGGAAACAAAGTATCAATTACGATGAAAACACATGCAAAGGTTTAACTTTTACCTTTCTGTTTCTAAAATGGGACTTGGTCATTTTATAACTTTCAGGAAATTTGAACCATATGACGCATAAAACTCTTAAACATGAATTCTGTGAATGCCTGTGTGAATTATCCAATAGCTTTCACACTTACAATTATCAGTACTCAACGCCCCTTTCCTTGGAAGAGGCACTTGGCTCTCATTTGATATAGATGTTTTAGTTTAGCAGAGGAAATTTGGTTACACTTTACATTAACTATATCCTGATGTGTGCGAGGGGAAGGATTAGGGCCTGGCGTTCGATTTCAAGAGAAGCTGGGGAGGAATTCTCCAAGTATGCCGCTTATTAGAATTTAAACAATATGGTGAGGAAAAGAGGGGTTGGGGTGCAAAGGCATATGGGGTTAAAGCAAGCACAAACATGCACAGCAATTCAAATCTCCAGCTCCCCATAGCCTGGGCCTTTGACAGCACAAGTTCAAGGTAGGATCACGGCAAACCCTGAGGCAGGGAACTTGGCCTCCTTAGACAATGTCTGCCCTGAACTCCTGCTCTTAGAGTGAATGCATGCCAAAAAAGACTGATGTGATGTAGACCTAAATACCTATCAATTACTGGTCTGTTTCACAACATGTAAACTCGTAACAAATGCAAAGAAACCCCTCAGTGGGCTAACACTCACGCTATTTCTCATTATACCATCACTAGAATAAAGGAAAAAAGTCCCCGAATGAAATGATTAGAAGGTGTACGAGTCAACCTTATAATAAATGAGCAACAGTTTTTCAAAGGTGAGACGTATGTGACAAAAACTCTTGATGGGTGTTGTGATTTTTGTCATCCGACCTACATTAGAATAATCCTCACCAGAGGAATGTTTCACCTTGAGCACAAGCAGCACCCATCAACAAATAAAGGTCACATTTCATTACTGCAATGAGCCGCTGCACTGCAATCAAGCTGAGCATTGTGTAAACTATGTGAAGAATTAGATCTGCATCAAGGTTACCAAATAACCAAAGATAAGGTTATTGTCACTGACTCTATAGAGTCCTTGCTGTTTTTTTATGTATTTATGTAATTATTCAGCGTTGTATGTTCTTACTTTACTTTTCACTTCAGCAGAATATTACTAAAATATTCTTATACAAATAAAAATATGTGTTATGTAGGCTATTATTTTCATTAAGGTAAAATGTTTTGATTCTCCAACGTTTTTGTATGCCCTTTTGCAACAAAGAATTGGAAAAGGTGAAAAACCATATCTTCCAAACTTTTCCTCAAATGGTTGCTTACATAAAAACTTTAATTTAAATTATAGAAGTTAACGAGCATAACATTATGTGCATGTTTTTAAAAGCATTTTAAGGAGAAAAATAAAACTCTATCTTAGTCTAAATGACTAAATTATCCGAATTATTATTAACATCATCCTGAAACGTGTCCTTACTATCAGCTGCAATTTACACAGGCAATTAAAAGGGGACACAATAAATCCGGCATCCGTCACATTAATCTAAAACAGCGTGTAGGAGAAAAAAGTGGTTATTGATAGTGTTGTCACATAAACATAATGACAGCGGAGAGTAATCAAATGATTAAAACATCTTTCTTTTCCCCCCAAGCCGTACAAAGCGCGCCTCGTCAGCACAACCTTCCTGAAAGTAACCCTCAACATCTCAGCGGTTAATCAAATATCGACTGGCCTGCAGAATGACGTAATGTTGGTCACATAGCTGTTTAAGACAAAAAATGGAACGTACATTTCACGGGACCAGGAGCATTACTATTTTTCTTTTTAACCGGCATGACAGCAATCATTTTCCGGACGATCACTGGTGAGCTGCAGCGCGTTCAGTCCGGGACCGACACCGGCTCTGCGTATCCCGAGATGGGACAGCAAGGCAGTGATGCAGGGAACCAGCTTTGGTGCTATGGAGCAAATAGAAAATCTATAAAACGAGCCAAATTGCTTTGAAATGCAATGAAACCATCCGTTGCAATGACATTCGCTTGTTTTCAGTCGGACAAATTCCTGCAGACTGGTCCCCGCTGCTACCTGCCAGCGAGCAGCAGCAGCAGCGGCACTTGACTCCGCGTTCAACTTCCACAACAGTCAACAGATAGGCCGACGCACGGACAGCCAAGTGAGATGACAATGCACCTACTCTCACAAAACCTACATGATCTATTCCCTCTTACGCTTGCAAGCATTCATGAATTGAGAAACAATTAGAAAAAAATTCAATTAGAGCAGGGCTGCTGAAGCGAAGAACAAAACAAGCTGTTGCATGGGGAAAAAATGAGAAAAAGTAACAAGAAACGCTTTTAACAAACACAACAAACCTGCAGGGGCGCGTGCACGGTCCTCTGCATGCTGGTGTGAGGTTTTCAACTTACCAAACAAGTGTAGAAAAATGTGAAGCAGTCTCTGAGAAGAAACCACGTTGGACTGAGAAAATATTACAATACGATCTATTTAGAGAAGCATAACGTCACCCCCGGGTGACGTCACGTGGGATTCCTGAACTTCTAAATCATTGCGGTCCGCTTGGAGGCGGCGCGAGCGGGGCGGAGTTTAGCAGAATGCACACCCAGAGGCATGGACCGACAGTGCCGGAGCAGAGTGGGTGTGGCGCGAGGATGGAGCTCCAGTACTGACCAATTAGCCATGCAAATGAGATCTGGACTGCATTAGCAGTTAACTCTGAACAGTCCCATAAGCAAAGTGAAATATGAAGATCACAAAACGTCATCATTTTAAATACAATACTGGCCTTACTATATAGTAAATACAAAAAAGTTAAGTCAAATAGCATACTGGAATAATTTAAATAGCAAATTATAGTCCTGCTAAGAGGCGAATAAAATGCACTTTTTTTTCTACACTACAAACAAACACTTTTCAAAGTACAGGTGTTACAGTTACCATTAACGACCTAAGCCCTCATGCACATACGACCCTGGAACTGAAGCTGCTAAATTAAATTCAGCCATCATTAATTTTTATTATTTACACCTGTGCTTTAACTACTGTGACATGTAAAAAGATCTAGTGTGAAAAGGCCTTATTGGATTAATTATATACAGAGAAAAAAAAGGATACAATACTTGCCTTTCAGTTAAACTCCAATATTATGTCAATGTGTGTAGGGACTTGTTTGCAATATGAAGCGATGGTGACTAACCACCTGTATGTCCAGGTGGCTGTCTGTAATGCACTGACAGTAATGGCTGGATTAACCTGCCATGGGGCCCGGAGGCAGAAATGAGCTGCTGGGCTACTATTAACTCCCTCCATCCCTCCTGCCCTCTGGGGAATGTGTATAGATGGATTACTACATGGTTTCCAATATGCTTTGTGCTAATTTGATCAAAAACGAATTTATGTTTAAGTATGCAACATGTCAACTCAAAACTGATAGAAACAGATTGTTGGATAGAAAGGTCTTCAAACTGATTTTTGACACATGACCCACTTCAGACATGACTTGCCTAAAGAGAAAAAATATATATATATTATTCAGTGAATCATCTCTATTAACTAACAAACTAATTTCGTTTTGTTTTTTTATAATTAAAAAGAACATTTGTCTCACAAATGGGTATCTTGCTGTCGTCATATGCATCATCAAGCTTCACTAGCAAATGCATTGAATGTGGGAAACCCATAGTAGTTCCACACTGCCTTTCCTTATATGTGCCTTAGCTACAGCACATTAAAAGAGATTTAAAGAGCTTTGGAGTACAAAGCGTTTGTGTTGGAGCTCTGTGTGACCTGCTGGTGCCAACTGGCTGTGATTTCTTGGGCCACAGACACCGGTAGTGAAGCTGTTCTCTGCTTTAGGGATTAATGACTCCTCACACTTTGAGAAATGTTTACCACTCGCCTGCGACCACTCCACTAGACGCACTAAGAGCTCTGTCACTGAAACAATAACGCAGTCTGAAAAGCTCTCATAACTCAGAGCTTCTCCGCCTCTGTCTTTTAACCAGAGCTTTAATCAACGTTTATGACATCCTTTTGTCTCTTTATTGCCAATATATTTCCAAACCAATCCAAACATTATGCTCCCAGAGGAGCAGACTATTAAGGTTGGAAAGAGCCGATACAGTTGAGGTCAGTGACCCACACTAAAGCAGATTTGATCTATATTATACTTAACCTTTTATTATTATGCCTTTGTGCAAGGTTTTTCAGTAAGATCACCTTGGGAGCATTAGCACCAGGGAGGATGCTTTGTTGCAGAAGGTGCAAAAGGTGAAGGAGGCTAAATAACAAAAGTGTCATACGGGTTTTCAATTTGTAAACAAAGTATAAAACATCTTGAGTAAATGTTGACTTTGTAAAACAATTGAAGATAGAGGGTAGATGTTCAATCAAACGGAATGTTACTGTAAACATTGTTTCCTGCGCTCCACACCTTAGACGAGTGTGCCTGCAGGGATGGAAACGTTGGGCACTCAGTATAACCGCATACCATTCCATATTTCAACACCTCAGCAACACACGTACGGTGGCAGTCGTACATTTAGTTTTATCTCAACTTCAGGCAAGCAACTCTACTTATCAAAAATGTAAAAGTGCATACATTGATTATGTTCAAATTATTCTCCATGCCACTTGCAAACTACAGTTAGATCTCCACACTGTCCGTTTTATAAAGGATTTTACATTTATAAGAAGTTCTGATGTATAATGTGTCAATAGACTCACATTGGATAACTATATCACAATGTTATACTAAAGGATGTAGCAGATTTGTAGACTGTAATTGTTGATATCATGAGGTTTTCTGAATGACTAGAAAATATGTTAAACTGTTGGTCAATGGTTAAAAATCACAAAATATTGATTAATGACTTAGACCTAACATTACTGCCAAAGTATGACATTGTTGACATTGTTGATCAAAGTCTTAATAAGAGAACTCTTGCTAAATTGTCTGCAGTACGGTGATAGCAGCTAAAAGTGGCTTCAATACACAGCAAAACAGCCGTACCATAATGCAAAATCATGTAGAGTCGTGGTTATGTTGGAACTTATTCAACTTAATAGTTGGGAACTATATGCATTTGTTAAAACATAAAAAGTTTGTGTTTCCCCCTTATAATATAATCTCCAGGAACAACGACCAAAGGTTTGAAAATGGTGCGGGACACACTCTGGTCCCGAGACACCAAACATAAGCGTAGAGTTTCATGGTGGTAGTGAGAGCCTAATTCAACAAAACATATGTGCTGGGAGGTTCCCAGTAGATAACCCCAGTGATATTCCTGCACTCAAACACTCAACCCTGTTACATTTACATTAGGTGGCTGGTGAATGGTGCTGCCTGTTTGATGGCTCTTTAGATTTATAACAGTGTAGGCTGATGTCCTCTGTGCTCAGCATTTGTGGGTAAGTGCATCACTCTTCCTTCTGACATCTGAATTTGGCTTCTGTATGTGTTCATACTGGATTATTAAAGTCATAGGTAAAAGCATTTATAAATGTTCTCTGGCTGGGTTTAAAAACTGTCAAATAAATGGATGATAATAACAACACATTTATACCTTTCATTTACAAAGATGGGATTCTTATGATTTATAACACAACATAGCTTTTGGATTTATTTGTGGAGGAGTGTGACCGTTATAGTTTACCTTGGCCGGAAAAAACGTTCTGTTTAATTAATACCATTCATAAATAAACATGGTGGTGAGATGTACTTGAAAGAAAATCGTAGGAGGGTTTGGAGCTGGAAAAACTGTTCCTGCCATCTTTCAATACAATTTAATTATATATTATAAAACTGTATATTTCAAATGAAATGACCTAGATGTTGGACTACGTCTCTGCTAGATGCTGAATTACAGAAGCCAGAGGAATTTGGGTGCCTCTCTCTACTGCCTCCTTATATATGTGGGAGTGCATGTAACTATCTAACAGAGAACAAAATTATCTTGTTGGTTATCTCAAACTTGTTGTGTAGGTCACATAGGGCAACAGGGTTTAATCACTTACCAGCAGCTGTGATATGTGACTTTTCCTGCATGTACTTTCAAATGGAGGATAAACAACCTATTCAGTAAATCTCTACAGAAGAAAGTCACCAACCCATATATTACCGTATCTACGTTTATGGGCTGAAACAAATTAAAGAGTAATGATTAGTTGCAGCTATGCTCGTCAAGCACAATCATCAATAAATAACTGAGGGTAGCAAATGCCAACATGTTAAACTATTGCTGTCAGCTTCCTTAAACGAGAGGCCGTGTGTGATGTAATGCCTCAGTGTTGTCAAGCAAAACTGCAAAAATATTTTCACCATCGCTTCCTCGCCTTGTATGAAATCGGGCTGGGCCCAATGTAGACCCACTACACCATCAACAGAACAGAACTAAAAGTTACTGCACACCTAATAAATGCAGAAAAGGCACATCTATTTCACTTGTCATATATTCTTACGTCTTACGTGTACATTGTCATCCGTCTTTGTCTTGCAACCAATTGCATCACTCCATCCCTTCCACTGAAAACAGAAAGCAAAAGAAAAAACTTAAATTGATTCCATGCATTATTATGATTATAATCCATTATAAATCAGAATCAGAAATTGTTCATTTTGTATAGGGGTGAGAGCATCTTATACATCAAAATGTATTGTTTGCCTCTAAAATAATCAAAATTACCTTGCAGCACACGATGCATCAAGTGACCTTTATGGTATCAAACCTATGTATAAATAACATCAGACAGAAATTCTATTTCAAATGTATAATGTGTACTGTAACTTGTATTTAGCAACATGTAACAACACTCATGCCAAAGTTTGGGATGGTTGATAGAAGGCTTTTCATTACAGAACAGAAAGAGCAAGCACAACTGATATGTATCTACTGACCAACACTGCCACATTGTGGCCATGAGATGTTTTTCAGCTACGTGTTGCTCCAGTGTGTGATCAATGCCACTGTATATCTTCATGCTAATCTCTTAATTTTTTGATTTTGGGGCACTTAGTGGCCACAAATCCAGATTTAGATGGGATTTAAATCAAAACAAACACTTAAAGCAGAAAAGTTGATCCATTCATTTTGATATTACGCCCTGAGCGGAAAAACAATAATTTAACATTTTCAAAAACTGTACATTGTCATTAAATAACAATATTCTACATGTAATTCATAGTATTACTAACTAGTAGTAGTATTTAGCTAGTGATTTTAGTATTGATGAATAGGTTAGTTTATTTGTTGACTATTGTAGGCTATTATTTTAGTCTTTGTAGTTGTTAAGCATCTTTTTGAAGTTTTGTCCATGTTCATTTTGTGTCTTAACGGTCATGTTGTGTCTCTTTGTGGTCATTTTGCCCACATTGTGTAGTATTTTTGTGTGTCTTTGCAGTTTCTGTGTAGTAGTGTTATGTTTGTTGGTGGTCACTGGCTATTTTCCGGGGTCAGAAGGTGTCTCTTTAAAGGACATTTTGCAGGTGAAGAGCAGGGAGGCCCTGACACTTCCAGGCTCCATTCCTGTGCATGGTAGGCCCATCCAGTAATCCAAGGGTACTTAGTTTTACTGGATCAGTGCTTTGGGAATTGCGCACCGGTACTTAGGCTACCATACACTATCATTAAAAAAAAGAATTTTAGAAAAAAAATACTTTGGTGAGTAATAACCTTAACCTGTAGCTATTCATTTTTTAATAAATAGCAGGGATATTTTTATTTGGTAACTTAAAGATAAATACCAATCAGTTCTATAAATTCACAATTAGTTCAAGTATTTATCCATTGTAATACTCTATTACTTTCTGCTTTTCTATAGAAAGTCAGACGCTTTACTTCCGGTCTGGGTGTCTCTCCCCAGCTGGTTTGACGCAGCCCGGAGAAGTCACCGCGCCGCCCCGCCGCTCCAGCTGTTCAACCGCTGTCCGCCTGCTGTCTCCCCGCTGCTCTGCTGCTGCTGCTGCTGCCCCCATTTCCAATGCAGCAGCGACCATGACAGGCATCGCCGCTGCCTCTTTCTTTTCCAACGCTTGCAGGTTCGGGGGCTGTGGACTTCACTTCGACTCTCTGGCCGAGCTCATCGTGCACATCGAGGATAACCACATCGGTAAGAGAAGTACTGAGCGCCGCAGCCAGCAATGGCCGAGCTTTGCAGCTAGCAGAGGTGGCTAAGTTAGCGAGCTAGCAAGTCACTTCCTGCGTCCTGACAACACTGTTGCTAGGTGTGGTGGCTGTTGATGTTTACTTGTAGATATAACAGTTAATGTTCACCGACTGCAGGTATGTATCAATGCTGTATCACTGATAAAACAGCTGCAACACCAGCAGACACACCGACAGGAAGACACTTTCTTTACGCTCCGTCGGCTCGTCGTGCAACATTATTGCAGCGCAAGGCCAGCGCGCGGAGCTCGGAAGCGTCGCGAGTTAACTTGCAGCCTCAGCCTGCAGCAGCCAATGAAGATACCCTCACTACTTATCCGCTCGTTTCAATCCGCCTCACAATATAGTGCAGTTTAATACTGTCTACAAGTAAGGATGCACTATATATCAGGTTAAAGGTGGAGTTTAGTCTAGACTCTAGGGTCATGTTTATGTTGTTGACCCATATTTATACTATTAATAATAAGTGTCTCATTATATACATACATGGTTAAATATATATTCTGTCCTGGCACCTTTACCCAAATATGTCAGCTGATGGGGGACAAAAAAGAATACTGTTTGCCTTTTGAAAAGAAAATAGCTTTCAGTCTTGTTCAGCCTTTCGATCCACTTAATAAAGTAGACGTGTTATGAGTCATGTACACATGTGTTAAAGGCCAAAAGATGAAGTTTATATTACATTTTAAAAATCACTTTTTAAGAGAACATAAAGTCATCTGAGATCATCACAAATCTACAAGTTACCAGCGCCATTACAGTACAACCTTCTGTGAAACAACTTTGTACGATTCATTTTTAGTTGGTGTTTTTTTAAGCTGTTGTCTCACTGTGGGTTTAAATTATTTACGCCACACTCAATCTGACCATCTGAAAAGTTACAAAAAAGTACCTTTAAAGTTAGACTTTGATAAATGATTTCATGTACTTTTTGAGCAGTTCGTTAGAGACTGTGTTGCCTTTATGCCTGACTAAGTATATATTTGTACTTTGCTTCATCATACGTTGTAGCCAATTATATTGTATTACTTTTGTATTTATTTTACTACTACTACTTTATATTTAATTGTATTTCAATTATTTCCAGTCCCACACGACATGGCTGATCTGCAGTGAACCTGCACTGGCTCATTACACCATCACACCTAGTACACCCTAAATAGCCTCTCAACAGTATCTCCCTTACTGCCATCATGTCCCACCAATAGACTGTATGGTCCCACCTCGATCAACAGCGCCACCTCTTGATCATGTGGGGCAAAACAATAACAGTAACTTACTTTGTGTTGAGATTGGGAAGTCATTATGGTCAAGCTATAAAATATACATTTCCCTCAGCTACTTATGATAAAAAAAATCTGATTTCTGAAATTTTAGACATCTATTTTGTTATTCATATGACATTTGATGAGCAATTCCATTTGGTAACCATTTCATTTGAGCATCACTAACTTGTGTGTAAATGTCACAATGACTTGTTAAATCAAGTTAAGTTATTACCTGTGAACAAATGTATGTGTTTTTCAAAGCACTTTACTGTAACCTCTGTGTACCAGTACACATGTGGCTTTTATTTACTAACTTACTTTACTATTATGTAAAAATAGAAATATGGTATTGAGTTTATGATAGGCTAACTTAATTGAAGTTTCAAATAGATATAACATAAAAACTGACCTTGTGTATCACAGGTCAGAAACTACAAATGTATTATGTTTAATCTTACATACATTTTGCATTGTATTATGAACAGTACATTTTCATATCATGTTTGTTAACTAAGCCTATATAGTCTACAAAGTGAATTCCCCGTGTCACAGTTTGACACTCTTAAAGTTCCTACATCTGTTTCCTAATCCAATATTTCAGACTCTTATTATTGAAGCTGACGAGGCCCAGCTGTCTATGTTGTTCTTGTTTGTTGCTTGACTGGCTTTAATATCCTCTGCCCTCCGATTGTGAGCTGTGCATGTGTCCAAGGTGTTAGCCTTAGAAAAAAACAAACTCCAAATGACTTATTGGGGAATAACGAGGCAATTAGTTGGCTCAGAGTGGAAAAAACCTTGCTGCCCCCCTCCTTTGTCCACTGGCCTGTGCCCACTCTGAGAAGTGCGAAGTCTTGTGCGTTGTGCCAAGTGCCTGTGAAGCATAATTACAGAGAGTGCCTGATTTGGCCTGTCTTCCTCCTCATCTGGTGGCCTGCTGCTGCTTAAAGCACATTCTGCTTTATAATTAGGCGCCTGGAAAACAAGCACACATTCTTGTCCCCATTTTCTTTAGCCGGCCTGCTGTTCAGGTCTGTGAACAAGAGGTGGCGTTGCTCTGCTGTTGGTTGAGGGTTTGTCTTTTTTAGATGCACGGTCTGTACAGTAAAAGGGATATAATAGGCCAACACATACTTTGCATCAACTTTTAGATAGATAGAATTGGAGGGATGAAACCCTCCAATGGTCACACATGCAGAGCACACAGCACAAACTTGTTAATGTATAAGGAAGTTATAATTTTAAGAATACCTATACATGAATATATTGTATTTCAATCCTTTTAGCATAGTTTGGTGCCCATATACATCACTTTCCTTGAAGGATATTATTACAGTAACTTTGAAATAGAAAGCCTAAAGACATAATTGTTCATAGCTGACGATTCACAGTGTATTAGCCCCTTGTTATAAGTGGCTAATAAGACTAACACTAAAACACATGAAGCTATATGAAAAATATATTATGTTTTTTGAATGTCATAAAACAAATATCAATAAAAATATAGAAAAGTTTCTATCCCACGTCAGTTATGATGTGGATGTGGTGTTTGTCAACCAGCAGATTCAAGTTGATAACATTGTGTTGGGTGGTCCACTTAGACCTCTGTGAACACATTGAGCTAACTTTAGGAGAGCTAATGAACCCTAATTCATCAGTAAGACGGGAAGAACATTTTGATTTTAAGGGTGTCTATTATCATTTGGCTGGGGACAACAGCTGGAAATTAGCAATGTTGGCTAAAGCTGCCCCATTTACTGTTTTTTGTGACAGTTGATTAATGGGGCCTGTCCACGACACTATATACAAATAAACTAAACTAAACTAAAACATTTGATTACCAAGACTAAGTTGTGTTAAGCTTGAAAGATCTCCTAAATAGTCTGGTGTTCTTTAAAAACCTGCACGCACTAAGCCAGTGAGATGTTTACCTTGTCACTGAGCGACCAGGCCCCTGTGGACCAGAAGCAAATAGCGATCATGTTATTTAAACCTGTGAGTGTGTGTAATGCTGAGGCATGGTGCACTGATGGCCTGCAGTGTCCAGGCTTAGTAACAATGAGTCTGTTTGTGGCCAATTCTCACTGGAGGCTCATTTAGTAGATGTTGGTATGCACCCCCAAAAATCTGCACGGAAGTAATAAATTTAGGAGGCAGTAACTAGTTCCCTGATCTGTGCACCTGGTGGGCCTAATTACATTTCCCCATCCCCCGACACCAGTGCTCCTGTTCCTGTGCGGTGACTCGACATGAGTGGCTCCTGTACTCAATAAAACATTATTCATATAACATGATGTACAGTCTGTGTTGACATCACACGACATGGGTGTGTAGTGAGGGACAAGTTTGATATTTCTTTGGTTGAAAACCAGATTTTTTTTTTATTGAAGTCTTCTTTACCTGTGCTCTGAGAAACAGAAAACTGTTGGCCCTTTTTGTGCATTAAACGATCATTTGAATAAAATTGGCGGATCAATCAAAAAATTAAATAATAATTAAATGCAATCTTAATGCATATCACAAATGTAACATTTCTGCAATGAATGTGTGTCTATTTACAGATGTCCCCTTATATTTACCTATGTGTTTTTGTGTCTTTCTATATGTATGACTTAGTTTACGGAATACGTTTTAGTTGCTGTCCGGACCAAACATATTGATAATAGATCATTTTAACCTCCCCAGGTTTTTTCGGTAACCCGCAAAGGCAGCTTACACATGGAGCTTGACTCGGTTTCATTTCCTCCTCAGAGGTCACATCGTAATGAATTACCTGTGCCACCACTCCTGGTTATGTCCCCTGCTGCTCACAGCCGCCATAAACATGTCACCATAATGCTCACCACTCTGCTCTACCCCAGAGTGCATTTGGCCATGAGGGTGCATGGGAGAACCAGACACTGGTGGAAATGAGAGGTGTGTGTGTGTGTGTGTGTACGGTGTTTGTGCGTGTGGTGTGTGTGTAAAAGGTCCAGGGTCGTGGAGGGCGTTATGAGAGGGCTACAGGCGTCACTTCCTCCGTTGCCTGAGGAAGGTTTGTTGTGTGATGGTCTCCTGGTTTCCTGTTGCGGGCCGTCATAGGGGCCCTAATGAGATCCCTGTTATTGCATCATGTTTTCCGCACAGTATACACATGCTTACACACATTAACATAGTCAGTGCTTCATAGAAAGGGTTGGTTTGCACTTTTGCATTAAGGCCAAAAAAGGTTTGATATATTCGATATGTTTTCATTTCAAGGGAAATGCATCCGGTACCAAACAACTCTGATTTAAAAACATAATGCACATAATGCACACACACACATTTCAAGACTGTGTTTAGTTTCCCTAAATGTTTATTTTTCTGACCTGCAGCAAATCAGCAGCTTTCATAAATTGTATACAGATTTACATTTGTACTTTGTCGAGAGATAACTCTGCAGACATGTAGACCTTGCATGAGAATATCTTTAATTGGTAAAGTGATTATTTTATATAAATTATCCATACATTTTTAGATCTGCGCTTATCTTCCTTTTTCTTCTTTATCCCACACCTGACTTTACATTCTTAAATAAACATCACTTGGGCTTACTCATTGTTTGCTTCTGGAATTAGCGGTGGTGAATAAATGCCTTTTTTAGTTTCCCAGAAGGCTTCTAATAGTCGCCCACCAAGGTGGACCACCTGTGTGGTTTGATTAGAGGGCTCCTCATCTCCCCTTGAGGCGCCTTCATCCCTCTCCCTGACTGCTGGTGGCCCCAAAAGAATAGCAGAGTCTGCGGGGAAACCGGCCCCAGCAGGCCTCCCTCGCCCCAGTCCCCACCTGAGGTGTGCGTGATTTACAGTGTGTGGGAACAGATTGATCCACTGCTGTTTGAGCAGTCCGTGAGCAGGACGCTGTTCCTCTGCTTGAGTCTCATTAGGGATCTTAGGAGGGATTTCTTGTGCACTCACGCACACACATACCAACACAGAATAGTCTCTGCATTGCCTCCGGCTTTTGGCAGGGGAATTGTCCCATTATGAGTGTGTCTTTTCCTCTCTGTTTCCATGACTTTGGCTGGAGAGTAGAGAGAGGTGTGCTGTCCTTCTCATTGGGGATAAATCCACTGCTAATGAAACACTTGCTTACGACTGAGGCCTTGGGAGAACCCTCCTGAGCCTCAGGCGCTGAGCTTTTAGCTGTTCTTAGAGCCTACCTGCCAGTATCATAAAACGGTGCCACTATTTCATCGTTAACCGAGAGGCTTGGCGGTTACCACTGAGTGCATGATGCCCTGCGCCTTTCATCGCCCATGTCTACTTCTCAGTAAGACTGACAGTAGTTTGTTGTCTTAGATTTTTTGTTAGACCTCTAAAATGTGTGTTTTTCATTTATACTTAAATGTGGTTTTGGTTGAGTTTCTCTGGTCAACATCAACTTTCACCTTCATGATAGAATTAAGCCAGTGGTTTTTTACTGTGCGAGTCAGATGCTTCCTTTATAGATGGTTATGTGTTCATGTACTTTCAATTTATAAATCATGTTTGGATTCTTAAAAAAAAGTGTTAGCTTTATGGCTTCTAGATGAGTAGGTATGTTTCCGTTAAGGTCCACCCAAAAGAGAAGTTGTAGAGCTATTTCGGAGTGATAACCAGACCCAAAATGGACAATCGTAGTGACCAAATTGCAACATATTAGAACTAAATGTAAGAATACACAAAACATCGACATCTTGATTTCCCCTAGTTTTCAGGAAGTGTGGTATTAAATCACAACTAAACTATGAACATGCATTTACAACTAATTTTGAATATGTTTACATTTGTTGTTAATTGATGGTGCATTTGAATTTGAATTGGTATTAACATTGGATACCATTGATACGTTTAGCACCTTAAAACGAGCTTAAGAGTTAATCTCATGGTGAAATCCCATCGGAAAGCACCACCAAAGTCTAATCAGTTTTCTTTGGCACAAGGACATTTGTTTTAGGGTGTTTGGGTTCAGGCGTACAAACAAACAGGAGGAAAAGCCCAATAATTGAGAATGACTCAGAGTTTTATTACAGCCTCACAGAGGTGTTGCATATTCCTTTAACAAAGACAATTACTATTCCCACAAGTTTTCTATCATTGCCATAGTAATTTTCAAATGATATCACTAGGACTGGGATGTTTTGTTTTTTTGGTTTACTGAATATGTGTATTCTATTAAAATTGCACTGTAGTCATAGGTGTAATTGTTGTGTATAAATGAGCTTGTGGATGGAAACAAGCAATAGTTGTAACCACATGGGGGTAGCAGTCCTTCTGAGCTCTGTCAGAGGCAGACAGGGAGGCTCAGCTGGTAAGTGGTAGACACTGTTGTTTTATGGGGCATCTCTCTTCTCCCACATGGACGGCAGCGGGGAGAGCGTTTGAAGTCAGGCCCGCTTCACCTCAGGGTGTGGAGATTGGCTATTGTTGTAGATGTAGCACTGCTGAGAAGGATAAATGTCTGGAGCCCGGCATGGGAAAACTCGGTACGTGTCAAGTGCGGTCATGTTTGAGCAATGTGGCGTCTGCAGAGCAGCTTTTCAAAAAGGTGCCATGGTAATTCAAAAGAAAAAGGCACTTGAGGTGGTACTTGTGCAACAGTGTAGCAGAATATGGCTTCAGACGGACTGGAATATGCATTTAACCAACAGTGAAGTAGCTTCATCATGCAAAAAGAGCACAGAGGGCAATTAGTTCATCTAATAGAAAAACGTGTAAGCAGGATTAGAGGATATTAGAAATACAGGAACTGAAGTCTAGACAGTGGTGCATGACATCATGTAAAATCTAATTGAAATTTACATTGCACAATATCCTGCATTTTGATTATATGCACTAAATCGTTTTTATATTGGGCATATTACGCCCTTATTTGTCGAGTCAGCTGAGCAGCTCCTCAGGTCATGCACACATACTCATACAGCTCTTTGTAGTAGTGTTATGTTTGTTGGTGGTCAGAACTTTGGAAACCAGTGTAAATCTCTCAACTTCAGCAACATTCAAAAGATACAAAAACAGTTACTTTTTGTTATGACGGTTTTTTTAACACCGATGTATGTACAATGCTTGAATGTAAAAACGTTTTAATGTACAATGTTTTAGTAGGTAGGGTGCTGTGGCAGAGATTATGATTGAAGGACTTGTTGGTACTGCATCATATTATAAAAATGTGATGTAAGTGTCTTGAAAAAGTTTCACTCATATCCAATATGAAGTATTGCTTGTGTCTTGGTTGATCAACACGAAAGGTTTGCCATGATTATGTTTCCACTTTGATAATATTGTTCAACGTTGACCGACACAGTTTTAACATTCAAACACAAATCTGTATTGAATTGCACCCTTCAAATCCAGTCAATATAATATACCCTATATGTGCCTTGGACCTTGGCAATGCAAGGACATTCAAGGCAAGGTAATACACTTTATCAAACCCTTGAAAGACCTTAAGGATTGGAAGCCAGTGAGGGATCCACTGCACCGGTAACTTCTAGTTGTTGGGGCTGCAAACAAAGAACAAGCCAATGCTATCCACAACACTACCTTATATGACAATATGTAACCCCTCTGTCTCTCCCCTGCTCAGACACGGACCCCCGTCTTCTGGAGAAGCAGGAGCAGCAGCAGCCGACTTATGTTGCCCTCAGCTACATCAACAGGTAAAGAACTATTGTTGAGAAAGAAAACGGCTGAATTTCCAATTGTTTTTGTAGTATCCTAATTAAAAGTCAATCTAATTTAGAAACCTGACATGATATGGTTTTATTGCTCTTTGGCCCCATGAAGATTTATCAACAAAAGTCCTCTACATCAGTGAGTATTACTGCCGCATCATATGAGCTCAGAGGAGGTGCTAGCAGCAATTTCAAATGTCATCTGGTAAATTGCTTAGATGAATTGCTTCAGTATTTGGTAGCTGTTTTTTATTGCTCCATGTGGATCCCAGTCATCTTTGATATGGTGCATCAACAGTGGTTCTTAAAGCCTTATGCAACAAGCCAGGGTACAAGAAGTTGTCTCCCGGCCTTCACAGACACATCTTGATGTGGTTATCGTTTAATTTGTTGATTCCACTTTTGCTTTAACAACGCCTATGTTAACATTTCATTTTTATGATACACGTTAACCAAAGACTTTACTATCCATCATAAACCCTGGTGTAAGGTTTTTTTGATTGGAATAGAGCCAATTAAATGTTTTCCGTTACACGTGTTCTACAGTAGCAAACCTCCGATAGCAGAACTTTGCAAACATCAGGACAGACCCACAGTCGCGTATGATACATGAAATGAGATGCAATCTTTCTTTTGATAAGAAAGATTTCCAACTCTGACTGGTCCTTTATCCCACAATGGCAGGTTCATGACAGATGCTGCGCGGCGGGAACACGAGACCCTGAAGAAGAAGGTGCAGCCCAAGTTGTCTCTGTCTCTGACAGGCAGTCTGTCTCGCAGCAGTGTTTCCACTCCGCCTCGCCACACCAGTGGAAACCTCACCCCTCCCGTCACCCCACCCATCACCCCTTCCTCTTCCTTCCGCAGCAGCACACCTACAGGTACATACCCATGGCTAACACACTCACCTCTCTAGTTAGATCTCCAGAATGTAGTGTCTGCTGGCAGTGAAATACATGTTATGCATTGTTCATTAAGCAAGCAGCAGGGTGGTGTAGCAGTAGAGGAGGCTGACATTCAACCAGGAGGTCCGTTTCAAGACACCGTGAAGGCAAGCATCCACCCTGCTGAAGTAAATCTGAACCTCCACCGGTTTAGACACCACTCTCCCCCTTCTACATTATGAAAGAGGGCATGGAGGCAGTGCAATGTCCTTTTCAGGGTTAAACAATTCACCAAAGACTGGTTCCATTGTCTTTTTACTTAAAAAAAGATATGATAGGATGAAACAGATGTCTCACTTAGCGTGGGAGGTGAAAAGAAAAGCAGCTGTAACAGCTTAAACTACAGTCAAGACACTGGCAGAGATCACATAGAGTTTTAACCTCTATCTGCTGCAAAAATGATACATTTGACAATTGTCAGTAGTAATGGCTTTAACGGCTGACTAATAATAAATTGTGACATGTCTGTAGACAATTCTTCACTCCTGCTTGGTTGCATCTCAATATTTTACTTGGCGTGTGACTCCAATGCAGTGCTGAACTATTCAAACTGTATACATTTTTATCCTGCAAGTGAAAATCAGCAGGAGAACTTATTACATTTTTGAAGTTAAACTCACATTCACGCTACGGGAATAGGGGCAGCTTTTATGGTCCAGCTGATAAATCTAATTCTCTGAAGTGTATACTACATAACAGAAAACAGTTGCAGTTATTTCCCTTATTATGTTTTCCCATGTACTTATTTTATAATGTATACAGTTTTTAATGTTCTTTATTTTTTTATAGCTCTTGTGGTCATTTAGTTTGTCTTCTGGTATAACATCTTTAATTAATGAATACAACAATATCAGACCGCAAGACCCTAATGATGTACATACATACTTTCCCACAATTGGCATATTTCTGTCTTTCCAAAAAAATTGGGCAATGTAGCCCATTAAGCAGGGATGACAGGAACATTGCCCCGAAGCACATGTTGAGAACAGTCCATACTTGTGAGCCTGGAGGCTAAAGGGCCAGGATTTTATTTCAACAGATTAGTCATCTTTAGAAATGTGCATAAAATCAGAGCTTCCTGGAGAGCAGCGCGTATGATCGCATGTCTGCTCACAAGGCCCTGAGTCAGCTACTCTTTGACTTTCTGCCTTTCACCCTCCCACAGGTAGCGAGTGTGATGAGGAGGATGTCGATTTTGAGGAGTCAGACAGTGATGAATCGTGGACCACAGAAAGCGCCATCAGCTCCGAGTCCATCCTCAGTTCTATGTGCATGAACGGAGGAGACGAGAAGCCTTTTGCATGCCCCGTGCCAGGCTGTAAAAAGAGATACAAGGTACGATCCACTCAGCATCTCTCCTTAGAATTCACATTATGTAGATTACACTTTTTTTCCCATGGCCAGGAATATTACAAATAAACAACTAGATTGTTTTGCATATATAAAATCAAAATGGATTCCCCGCTGTTGACAATGGAAAAAGAGTTCTTAGTTGAGCATTACAGCATGTCAACATAGTTGCATACATCTAGTCCACTTCAGTCATGTGGACTTTTACAGGATTTTCCGTCCACATCTGGTTTGTGTGGTTGGGATAAATTATGTGCAGCTTGAGAAAATTGCATTGCTGACGTGAATGACAGAGTTATGGGCGATGACTAAGTCGGAGGCAGCAGCCAGTTTTAGGCATCTGTTTAGGGGCAGAACAAGACATTTTATTTCTCCTCTCTAAAGCCTACTCAGCAAGCAACTGATATTTAAAAAATAAATGCAAGATATAGTTGTAGGAAGCTCAGTTGTAGGTGTGACCTCTTATTAGTAGGATGATGTGGTAGAAGTAGTTGTGGGGTCACTCAGGCAAATGGATGTTTGAGTGTCATATTCTTTGCTCCCTACAGAATGTGAATGGGATCAAGTATCATGCCAAGAACGGCCACCGAACCCAGATAAGGGTGCGCAAACCCTTCAAGTGCCGGTGTGGGAAGAGCTACAAAACGTCTCAGGGTCTCCGCCACCACACCATCAACTTCCACCCACCCATCTCTACTGACATCATCCGCAAGATGCAGCAGTAGAGAGAGCGACCAGCACTCTCCCTCAGGCCACCTCCCGACCGTCTGAAGATCACCATCACCAGCAATGGCTGCCTCTCATTCCACCCCCTTTCACCCTGCCCCTTCTCTCTCTCCCTCTCTTATCCTTCTTTGCTATGACACTATTTTTTATTGCATGTGTTATTATTTATCCTCAACTTTTATTCTGAATGTTGAACCTTTGTGTACTTCACGGTTTTGTATTTTGCACATTTAGACTATCATTTATCTATTTTACTTCGACATATGGTGCTCGTCGATGATGAGGGCTTGTTGTAGACTAGAGAAAGGCCACATTAAGTCACGAGCAGCCTTGGGCCGCCTGCTTTAAAGGCAGTGTGAAGTCAGAGGAAATATTAGGATGGTTGTTTTAAAGAAAAGAGGCTCAATTACCTTTCCTCTGTCTCATTTGAACCTAAAAATGTGACAAAAGAAAATGAAAACAATCAGAATGTGTGCAGTATAACATTTTTCATATTATGAGATGTAATGTTTATAATCATTGTTTGACTTAGTTACTTTTCCTTTCATATCACAAGTATTCAATACCTTTTTTCATCTGTTTTACTGCAAGCACGCGTGTGTTAGCACCAAAGGATGATCTCAGGTGACGTTTTCAAGCATTTCAGCTCCACAATCCTGCCCAGGGGTTCTGATAGTATTTTTGCAGTTCAGTGGCATCATGGGAACTCTGTGTGTCGTTGCTGCCATATTATCCCGGTCACTTTCCTGAAGACTTAAGCAGTTGTCCTCACTGTTTTACAGTAAAGGATTGAAGCACTTTTTGTAACAAGTTGCCAACAAATCAGCATTTTTTTGCCAATGTCTCGTTTCTGGTATATGTACAGTAGCTACCAAACGAGGCACAAGGCCTTCAGAGCGGAGGTTTGCAGGTTCTGCATTGAAAGATGTATACCAAACCTCCAGTGTTTTCAGTATTGTGAGATTTCTGTATGTACAGTCGTTGCCTTGAATTGTAAACCATTCCAATCAGTGCAGATCTTTTGTATGTTTTTTTTTTCTGACGGTTCAGACAAATCCAGCTGAATGCAGACATTACAGAAAGCTCAGCCCACAGTGCTGTTCAGAGGCGCCCAGTCTTATGAAGCCAAGTGATTGTTTAGTCATGAATAGAAAAAGGTTGGGTCCGATGTTAGCCATGTATTCAGCTGTAAGAGGGGCTGTTAAACAAATGCAGCTCCCACTGTGTGCCATAATAATATGTCCGTTTAGATTATGTAAAACACCATTGAATCCCAGAAATAATGAACCGCAGATCATTAGATGCCAAAAGTTTATGAATTTATCAACTTTGAGCCATTTGGTAACATCTTCACTGCATGGATGTTAATTGTTAATGAACCATGGTCCAATTAAGAATTGTGACAGTATTGTACTGCCAGTATGGAGGAAAGTCTTGATATAGTGTACAGTGAATGTATTGTTATGTGTTAAGTGCATTAAATTATATTTTCATATGGTTCTGGAGTTAAAAAAAACAACAAAACAATAGTATATGTGTATGAAAATGCAACACCAGAGGTTGTTTGGAGTAACAGCTGGTGATGTACTGTATTTCTTCAAAAAGCTGCTTCATGTAAACTTTTGTTACGTTTAGAATAAAAACCCCTCTGTGTGCCTACAGACTCCTGTGTGATTAACTGCGTCCGGACACGATTCAGATTCAAACAGACTTTATTAGATCTTATAAGATACATGGAACTCACTTAACAAATGAGACATTGAAATAAGTTATAACTGTAAAAGAGAAGAACAAAAGAAAGAAATTAACATAAGCTCAGCATGCACTGATTAGCTGATAATATGAAGGTTCTTAATGATTCTGATACAAAAAAACACTTAAATACTCAAAATCAGAACAAAGGAAACCTAACATAAAACAAATCTATATCATACACAAAGGCTTTCACAATATCATTGGCTTCAATAAATCTAAAATAGATGATCTGATGATATACTGTATTATCGTTTCTGAATGTAATCACTGAAGACTGTTACCTGACTGCATATAGTGCACCAAGGCTGCTTTCTACAAAGAGTGAGCGAATGACTTGTACATTGATGTTTAAGGGGGGAACCATTTAGTTGGATGTTTTAAATGTAAGTTTGGTAAACACTTATCTCTTTCCCTGATTCATTACATCCTGTAGTCTGATTGATCTGAGTTAACTTAAAGTCGGTACATATTGGTACAACAGTCGTTTCCCCTTAAATTATCTTTGAATCAAAATGAAGGGAAATCTTTTACCTATAAAAAATGTTTGCCTCAGTGGCCCTGCCATATACACTGAATCAGAATGATTTTTTTATATGTCACATCACTTCAAAGTATTCCTCTAAGTTGAAATAACAAAGCGAAGGTGAGTATAGTCCTAAAGATTGGATCTACACACCATTACATGCAGAAAAGAGTGCAGATTTTTTTCAGTGGCGACAGGAAGTAGGCAGAGCGGATGTGCTGATTCTCTGATTCTCTAGTCGAAGTTGAGCGTGTGGCTGTCGAAGTGTGTGAGCACATGATTCTCAAACACCTTCTGGTCGCAGTCCAGGGGGAACTGCTCGCTGCACATGGGGCAGATTTTCCAGTGGCTCTCCACATGCTCCTCAAACTTGCTCTGGTCATAGTTGGGGGGGGAAGATGACCTCACACAGCGGGCATCTCTTCATGTTCATGCTGAAGAGGAAAACAAAGGCAGCGGGAGAAAAGCTCCAGTAAGCAGTCAAGTGATGATGTGGGCAAACCAGGAGCGTAGGCCCATAAAGAGCATCTGTCTGATGCAACGTGGGTGGCCTGCTGCTTGACTAATACCAACAAAAGGGGGTTGTGCAGCAGAACAAACACTTTACACATGTTACAATGCACAGGTTTAGAAAACGTAGGGTGCGGCAAACTTGGATGGCATTTATGAGAGTTTGTTGAAAGTGAGGGTGTGTTACCTGGGATCAAAGCAGAATGCAGTTTGTCCGTCGGTCACAAATGGGCTTTGAGTTTCAGCTGCTGCGGGCTGCTCGTTGGTATTACCCTGAGGAAGAACGCTGTTATGAATATGTAGCGTAAAGGAGGAAAGTAGTATTAAACTGTATTGGAGAGAATAGAGTCTGAGCTTACATTGTTGTCGTTGTGTTGCTTTTCCTCTGACTCCTCGTGGCCTTCGGGCCGGCTGTGGTTGCGGGTGGGTTGGATACACACCACGTTGCTGTCCCAGGAGGGTGGGCCCACAGGGGGCAGCCTCAGCAGCTGGTCATCTGAGAACTCCTCATCTCCCTCATCTGCAGGGAGAGAATTCAGAGACACGTCTACTGTAAATACAAGTCCATTATTTCCATATCTGTTACTGGAGAAATCAACAAAGCTACTCCATCTAACAAAAAGGATACCAACCTTTTGAGTCTGACATGTAAGGGTTCCTAAAATGCAGCCTACTGGGGCTCTGAGAGACCAGCAGGGGGGTGGGGGCGTCCTGGGCGTAAGGGACAGGGTACTGCAGGAATAAAGGCACAATGGACTGGATACTCTCCAAACTGGTTTTCTCACTGGCCCCCTGATCTCCCTTTTTGCCGCTGCCCTTCTGGAGCTCCTGTGCAGGAAACAGCAGAATATATATTTTACAACAAACAAAGAACAAAGTCAAAATTAAATGTTTTTGAGGAGCTAAATGCCTGATTTTATCCCACCACGACTCTTAGTCTTTCCAGATATACAGTTCTGCTTACAATCACACAGCACCTCCTGAGCTATGAGTTTCTCTCGCTCACACAAACAGTTTAATTAGTGCCCTTCATTAAAAAAGAAACTCTTCTCATTTTCAAAGGGATTGCGACGCTGTGTTTTATTGATGTTAGTTGCAGACGCCACTTTAATTTACAGTCTAAACCTCAAATTGGGTCATTCAGCTCCTCTTAGCTGTAAGAGAATTACCTCGAGGCAATCATTTAGGTCAGCGAGGACCTTGCTGTGGTCCAAAGTAATGGAATGGAAAATAAGAACTCATTTACTTTTACAATTAGAGGCGTATTAAACACAGACCAGATTGGGTGAGGCAAACTTTCAGGGGGAATGTCACTTTTCAAGGAATTCGTAAGAGTGGAAGAAGTCTATAAAAGAGAAAGCTGTCACTTACCCCGTCAACTTTTTCCTTGTCCTTCAAAACAAGAGCTAGTGTGTCCTTAAGTTCCTTCAGCTCCCGTCCCTTCTCAGCCACTTGGCTCTAAGGTAAACACAAGACACACAAACAAAAGAATTAAGAGACATTTTTAAATGTTCAAACATCTGACGTGTTGCTGATTGAAAACTGTATCATTGAAATACTCTCAGACCTCAGGGCTTGACATTAATTGATCACAGCCATAAAAGGCTTCCCTTTGCTAGGGACTGATTTATGTTCAATACTGCTCAAAGCAATACAACCTGTTTGAAATCCTCTGAGACACTAAGCAAATATCCGCCTGACCTGAGCCAAGCACAGCATTAGCCAGGCAACTGGAGATGACTCCTCAGAGCCAGCAGCGCTCGTCTCCAGAGTCTGACATAAACAGCAGTAAAAAGTGGTCTCACAGATAGGCCTGCTCATAAACAACACGGTCTGAGCGGCCCTGTTCAAGGGGAGAGATAGCATCAAAGACTCCATCCCTGAGCAAGACCAGCCATACCCAGTGCTAAAATCGCAGTAAGTGTCCAAAGACAGACCTGATTTGAAATCGGCAGAGCATCACTTACAGCAAACGGCCTGACCGCAGTGCTAAGTGTCTGGACTGACCTTGTAGCGATCTTCCTCTGCTGCCAACTGCAGTTTCATGTTCTCATTGGTCTTCAGTTGTGCCTTAAATTTCACCTCCATCTTGGCCAGCTCATCGGCAAACATGCAGCTACGCTCCTTCTCCTCCTGAAGAGCAGTCAGATTTTCAACCAATGCTCTTTCATCATATTCCTCTATCTTACAATACAAATAGTACATACTGTTTATAAAACAGAACCTAGGGGTTTAAATATCTCATTTGTGGACATGACCAATAAAAGGACATTAATAATTCGTTTTTTACCAGCAGCATCTGCTTGCACTTCCTGTACTTGTCACTCCTGTCTGTTGCTTCTCTGCTGATGCCTTTGAGCTTCTCCTGGATGATGGCTTCCAGCATGGGATCAGCAGAACCTGGACTTCCTGCAAAGATAATGAAGGCATGTCAGACAGTTTGGCAAAGCATAATAAATATTTTAAATGCCATTACTCCTTGCATGACTTACACAGTTACATATAACGTACCTGGAACTGATGTGTCTGGACTCACTGATGCAGGGATTGTGGACATCTCTTGTGCTGAGCATCTCTTCGGGTCCTACAGGCAGGAGACAAACAGTGTTACAAATTAACTTTAAATTAGACAAGAATACAGAACAAAATTAATAAAAAATTGGTGCAGGCATAATGTAGATACATATAGGAAGCGTAAAAAAACACAAATGCTACTGAAAACAATTGACAACATGTCACAAAATGTTTGTTTATTTAATAAAGACTGCAATCCAGTTGAATGAAAAGACATGTAATCGTGTGTAAATGTCTTGAGAAAGCCCGCTTAATGATGATAAAGATGAATCTCAGGAGGTTTTGCTTTATAATCCAGTTTATTCATTTGCAAAATAGACCAAAGAATTGCTAAAGACCTTTAACCTATATTAAATGAGATGGAATAGTATTACAGAACTCTTATGTAAGTTCTGTTCTCTCACAAGTTTACAGTATGTCGGCTGGGACCTACCCCTTGCTGATCAGAGAGTCTGAGCACTTGTTTTTGCAGTCGCTGACACTCCTTGTATTTCTCCTTGTAGTGTTCTGCAGCCATGTGCAGCCGCAGCTTCAGGTCCTCCACCTCTCTCTGCAGCTCCGCTAAAACAACTGGGTCTGCAGCGGCCTCTTCTTCTGCTTTGGCCTGGCAACAACAACACAAAACTGATCAGAGACTACAAACACTCGTGTTCAAGCATGCAAAGACCCTTGGAAAGTTGTAGCGGTATAAAAGAAACTTGCAAGAACTAGCATTTAGTAAAGCGATGCAATGAGGCTGAGACTGAATCTGATCAGGAGGAGGATGGTTTCTTATTTATTTAGTTTTTTCAGTTTTAACCTAGCTAAGTCTGAATTATAGAAAGAGCTATCGACCCCTTCAAAGGCAGAACTGATAAAACACCCTGTGAGGCATTTTCTGTTTCCATTCTTTTTCTCTTACTACTAATAAATGCATAAATTTGCTTTGGTCAGCGTTGGCGTAGTTACAAAAGGTTTGTCGGTAATATATAGTACTATTATGATTTATAACCTTCCAATATTTCTGTGGTGAAATACCTACCAACATTATTACATATTTAAATCAAAATCAGATTTATTTATCTTTATAATCATTATTATTCTGATTTACAGAGTATTAGAGGTTTTCTATGCTGGCACATTACCTACCACCCAACCTTCCATTATATCAAATGCTAATGTATTAGACGGAGCCAATTGAATCAATAAGCAGTGACCAGATTGCTAATAGTCCTTACAGCTTCCTTCTTGGCGTCTGCCTTCATCTGCTCCACCAGGCGCTCCAGGCGGGCGCACTGACTCTGAGCCTCAGCCT